CCCAAGCAAGAACTCCTAAACCGGGACGTGAGCCACATTTCTTCTTTATGTCCTCCCGAAGCTTCAAACTCATAATTATTTTGAGGAGCGATGGGGGAAGCCCCTCCCCTGCCATTGACATGACTCCACTCCCCACCCCCCACACCATTTGTTTTACTTACCGATTATTATAATGCTATAGCGGCTCTTGAGCCAAATGGGCTGCGGTGGTTTAATTTGTCACCAATTTCCGACAAAGTCGGAGGTATTTTTGTCTCTCTCTCTCCCTCCCTCCCCTCCCTCCCTCCTCCCCTCCCTCCCCCGAAATACTTTGCTAAAGTAATCGAGCTGGTTGGATGGACCTTGGCTGGCAAAGAGCGCGCCAATCCCTGGCACAGGACTGCGAATGGAGCCCTTTCCTGGGTTGTGCGGTCCCACCGCTTTTCTCCATAGGAAGCTCGGTGGGGGTCTGTGGGACCTCCTTGGGGTAGCCCTACCCAGCCCCACAGCCACTTAGATGGAGGATCTTAGGGGAGGATTTCCAGAGGATCCCGAACTGGGAGGGGGGGGGGGAAGCGCCAGCCTTCATCAGAGCCATCTCCACTCTCAGGATCACGTGAACAAATATGCCTGTATTATAAAGCGACCCCTCGATTTCTTATTACAGGAGGTCGCCTCGGTTGCTCTTTTTAAAATAACAACAACAACAATAATAATAATCGCAATTATTGTTATTATCGTTATAACGGTGATGTGCATCAGGCCTCCTGGCTCCTTATTTACAAAAGAAGGGGGTGAAGCCTCGCCAGCCAATTGGCGCCTTTTATTCCGTGGGGTTGATCGCTGAAGGCTTTGCGTGCGGTCCCCCCCCCCCATTAAGCCCAACAAACTCCGAACTCCATTCGCCTCCTTTTTTATTGGAGCGCCAGCCTGAGTTTCTATTCTATCGGGAATACTGGTCTATGGAAATGTCTGCGCGAAGCCGCAAGATCAGGTTTAGGAGAGTATTGTCTGAAGAACAAAGGCGGAAGGAGAGATCCTCCCGGCGGCCAGCCCAGAGATTTTGAGAGCAGGAAAAAGACGCTTTTTTAAAGCAATAAGCGGGGACGCAGGTAAGCAAAACTGCATGAACTTCACCGATCCTGGATCCCGGCGTTGGCCTCCCCCTCCCTCAAATCCAGCCCTTTCCCGACGGACTACGGGACCAGGCAAGATCCTGTGTGCTGGTCATCCGCAGGTCAGAATAAGTCCCTAGGTGTCTGCCTCTTTATAGGATGAGTGGCATCTCTTCCTGAGGATTCAGGTATTGGATCGGTGCTGACCTGTTTGGAATAGACCGATTGGGCAGGACACCCCTGCGAAGGAAAGACAAACCTTTGGGCTTCGGGGAGGAGGGATGAAGGTAACTCTCTCCCGGGGGTGATCCAAGTCCCACTGAATTGTCACGGGCTGCCCTCTCCCGCGCACTGTGATGGCTCTGGACTTCAGCCTTCGCTCGGGGAGAGGGGCAAGGCGAGGCGGATCCTGCGAAGTAGGCAGTCGTCTTTCGAACACACCCAGGGGCAGTGGTGTCACTATATATTGTTTCGGGGAGGGGTGGGGGTCTTTCTAGAAGCAAGTCCTCCCCCCCCCGATATCTTTGTCTTTTCTTCTCTGAATTACTTCCCTCGACATCCCCCCCTCAGTCGAATAGAATTGCTGACCGCAGCTCCGTTTGCTAGAGTTCTATTGTCATTTTCGCCCAGGATGCAGATTTACGAGGATTTGTGTGCCTCTGTGCCCTGTGTGTGTGTTGTGTGTGAACAACCCAACGGAATCTAGCATGCTCCTGACCTCTTGGTTTTCAGTTGCAGCCGGCTCTTTTGCGTGTCCGCTCGGAAAAAATCAGTGGGGTTTCTCCCCCCCCCCGCTAAGCGTGTTTAGGGTTCCATCCTGGCAAGTGCAGTCCGATGCAGAGTCGCTCCAGGGTCGCTCCAGTTGATTCCAGAGGACTTCGACTGGAGTAACTCTACATTAGGGTTGCAGTGTGTGTGTCCAAACGCGCGTTGGATTGTGGCCAACCGCTATCAAGTAAAGATCACGTTTCATATCCTAGTAGCATTTTGCTAGATTTTCCTTGGCACGGGCTGTTTGAGAGACAGCCAAAGAAATGCCCCTCTTATTTAAAACAGCAGGGTTGAGAACGACTCCGACGTTAAAGATGCTTATTCAGGAGTGATGGATTTCGATGGAATTGACCTGAGTTTATTGCGGTTAGGATATTGCTGCTGTATTGCTGTAAACATCCAAAACGCGTTTACTTGGGAGTAAATCTCATCCATTTCAATGAAACTCAGCACCTAGCAAGTGTGTGATAGTGCGGCCTAATCATAGGCATGTTTACTCTAAGGTAAGTCTCCTGACTCCTTTTAAAGTATGTATATGATCACTGGATCACTGGAGATCTAGATTCTGTACATCCGGGTGTTTGGAGGAGGAATTTTCTTCCTTGGGTTTTTCTCCTTTCCCCCAATATTAACCCTCTTTTAGTACCCCGAACAAAGCGAGAGCATAAGTAGCGGTTTTATTCAGTGACTTGTGCTATGCTTGGCCGAAAGAAGCTGCACAGAAACTGACCATTGGACACCCCCCTCCCCCCCTCCAGCTTTCATGCCTCCAAGCTGCGAGTCTGACAAGTTCCTCACCTGAATCCAATTACGGACAAACAGCAATTCATTTCCTTACACTACAGGGAAGACTCCTGGTTGGAACCTCACCTCAAATTTCAGCCACCTGTCTTGGGGCCCTAGTCTGGATCAGTCACCGAAGACAGGCCCTGGGTTCTCAAAACTCCTGAACACCCTTAAGGCAGAGCTTGGAGTTCTGGGTTGGAGGAGAACGACTCAGTTCAAGGCCACAAGAAAGCAGGTGAGGCTGAACACAAGACCTTGAACAACAGAAGAAACTTATGTGGCTCTCCCGTCAAAAGATGCATCTTGGTCCAAACCAGATCTTTCTTTCTTTCTTTCTTTCTTTCTTTCTTTCTTTCTTTCTTTCTTTCTTTCTTTCTTTCTTTCTTTCTTTCTTCCTTCCTTCCTTCCTTCCTTCCTTCCTTCCTTCCTTCCTTCCTTCCTTCCTTCCTTCCTTCCTTCCTCTCTCTCTCTCTCTCTCTCTCTCTCTCTCTCTCTCTCTCCCCCCCCACAAAACTTCACACCAGTGTGTGAAAAAACTGGGGTGTGGAAATCAGGACCAAAGATGTGCGTTCATTCATTCTCTCTCTCTCTCTCTCTCTCTCCCCCCCCCCAAAAAAATCAGGATCTCCCAGAAGTGCTGTACTTCTGCAGAAGGGATTCAGAAGTCGATAATTAATTAGAGGCAAAAAAAGAGAGGGGGGGGGAACTTACCACGTTAATCTACCGCGGGTAACAATGACGGACGGCCTTTGGCGAATCCTGATCTTCCCGCTCAGGCGCTTCTATGATGTCGTCCCCCCCCAAAAAAAGCTCCCTAGGCTTAAGTTTTCTTCTCAACGCAGTAGTACAGAGTGATATATGTATATCTCGAACTCCAGTTGTAAACGGAGGGAAATAATATGTTAAAGCCCGCTTAGAGTTGACGTAGGCCCATGTGAATCTCTGTGCTCTAAGATCTTCCCGGGAGAGGCCTCGGGAGGACGAGGGACCCGGGGAGAGCGACAGCGCGGCGTGCGGGCAGCCAGCTCGACTTCCCCAAACCCCGCTTCGCCCCGGCATAAATCACCGGGAGGGCTTGGCAAGCGGGAAGGCCGGCCGCCTCGCAGCTGGGCTCGGCTCGAGACGGAGGAGAAAGTGGGGCGCTCGGGTGCCTGGCCAGCCCTCGGAGGGCCTTCCGCTGGTTGTTCATTAAGCGGTGAGTTATGGCTGCGCGAGGCAAAGGTCATTGCAAAGGCTTATGCTTGTTAGATATTCTCTCTGTAATGACAGGGGCTTCGCGGGGGGGGGGATTCCGCCCCCCCCTTCTCGCTCATTTCCAAAGTTCTTCCCGAGCAGATCCAGAGCCAAAAATAAGGACTGGGTCTCGAAATACAGACCGCGAGCCGATTTTCTGGAGGGGGCTTTTGGGGGGGTGGTGTTGTTGTGCTTTTTGTTTTTAAGAACGCAGTTCGAGTCCAGGAGCGCCTTCAGGCTCAGCCAAAAACTTGCCAGGGTATCAGCGTCGGGGAGTCCAAGCTCGCTTGGTCCGATCATCCCCGGGAACGCGTTTTTAAAGACTTCGTGTTTTCTTCATGGGACTCTCCTGGTCTGGAAACTGCCCCAGGACTCCTGTGCAGTTGGGGTCTGGAGGTCGGACGGACCTAGCCAGGCTAACCACCGCTATACATAATGCATGAGTCTGGCTTCAGGTCTGGGGGGGGGCGTCCTCCTGGTCGCTTCCCATCCTTCCTAGGCGGAAGGGTGCAGTGCCTTCATTTTAATGCTCGCCTGGTCTTCGATGCATGTGGCTATGAGGGTGTACCTGGGGAAGGGACAATCCAACCCCTGGATGTGTGCTACAAAGTTCTTCCTTACCACGACCTCTTGCATTTCCTTCCCCCCCCCCCACACACACACACTCCCCTCCCCAAAAGTGTACAACAATGCTACACCCCCCAAAAGCCGGATTCCCATAGCACCTTTTGCAACCTCTTGTTTCCCCAAATGACTGCAAATGGGAGAGGTGGAGGTGTGTGTGCGGTTCTAAGGGTGCTGATTCGCAGTCCTGGCGAACTTTCTCAGTGTTCACAGACTCTAGAATGTCTCCATGGCGTTTCGTTGGACCAGCTCACAAATAAAGGATTTTATTTTCCAGATAATAAACACACTTGTTATTTCAACAGTATACAGTCAATGAAGTCTACAGTGCTCCTTTACCTGAGTCCCATTATGTTCAGTTTATTCATTGCTGCATTTAACACCTATATTTTTTATAAAGTCTCTTGTACAGAACTGGGGGGGGGAGGAAAGAGATTTTTTTTTAAAAAGCGGAAAAGTGCAGCTTCCACTGAGTTTCCCCCTTTGTTCCAGGCACATCTCAGCGATTTATCCAAAGGAACCTGAAGATCCTGAAGATCCTACCAAAAGGCTTACAGACAAAATTAAAGAAAAAACATAAGCGTGGTGAGTTGTGTGTGTTTTTTTAATGTTTTCCCGTTGTTTGTTACAACTGAAGCTTGCCAACAGATGATTTATTTAACTAGAAGGGGGAGGGGTCCTAAAAGCTGGGGAATACACATGCTATAATGTAGCTTACAATCGATATTTTTTTTAAATGTTAATATTCACCGCCCTTAAATACTTCCCACACAGAGGTAAAAAGGTTGTTGCAATGAAGGTGGGTTTTTTTTGTTTTTTGTTTTGGCCTGAGCAGAATTGATATCCTATCAGGCTGCTTCAGTAGACCCTTATGAAGGGAGAGGAGAGGAAGGTGCCGAGAAACAAGCCTTTAATGAAGCCGTATCAGAACCGATCCCGAGCCAACCAAACCTGAACGCTCGTCCAGTGGGGCCCCCAACCAAGTCTTGAAGGAGATTTGCTGGCACCATTCCGGCATAGCTTAGATGCACTTGAGCCCCACGACACCCCGAGCTGAAATGTCCCTCGGCCCAGAGACCGACTTTAAAGCGTTTAATTGTGGCCGGATCGCACCATCCTTACAGATAAACCAGGCCTGTAGCTACATTGGGGGGCATCTCGAAGCCCGGCCCCCTAATTTACAGCCAAGGCCCCCTGACTTCCCAACCGGCCCCCAGGCGCTCCCTTGTGGAGGGGTGTGCGGGGGGTGCCCCCTGACTTGTTTAAAGGCCCCCCGAATTTAAAAAAAAATCCTGGCTGCGGGCCTGAGACAAACTATTCCCAGTAATCTAGCTACGGTATCCGCTTTGATAGGAATTGACCCAGAGGGTTGCAAAGGTAGGGGAGGCCAGAGAGGAAAGGGGCATCCGTATAAAACGAGGACGACAGCCGGGCCGGGCCCTGAGCATCAGCACCTACCCGGCCTTCACGCGCGGGGCCCTCCGAGCCTCCCTCCCCAGCTCAGTGGCGCGGATACAACGAGGCAGTTAGTCTGGCCCGTCCGCATCCGTTCCTCCCCCGAAAGAAAGGCCTCTTCCCGGCGGCTGCCTGCGGCGCTTCCTTCGGCGGGCTCGGCCTCCAGCCCAAGACCGCAGCCCGCTCGGTCTCTCCACCCCCCGAAAGCGCTTCCGAGAGCGGAGCGCACCCCGGCCCGGCTGTGGGGAAGGCCGGAGGCGAACCGGCGGCCCTTTTATAGCCAGATGCCCCCGCGCACAGCGGCAGGGAGAGGGCGGGGGCGCCGGGGCCTTCTTTGGCCGGCCTCCCTCCCACGCAGCCGGCTTTACACTCCGCCGTGCTCCGGTCTTGGGAAGCGGAGCTCCCTTTCTTTCTCTCTCCCTCTCCCCCCCCCCGCCTCCATTCCTTTCTGAGGCGTTTACTGCCCCAGCGCCAGGACCAGGAGTCATAAATTTTGCTACACACCGCCGTGACAGGAGCATTGATATGCACCGTGAGAACTCGGGCCTGCTTAATAACCACTCCGCCGGCCTCTCTTACTGCCTTTTATTTATTCGGTATCATATTAGATATTGATTCCCCGGCAGAATTAAGTGTAGTGGGCGCATTAGTCGAGAACCGGCTTCATATGAATATTTGGAGGGGGGGGGATCGAAACGGGACGGGCGAGCGTCGGGGAACTTGCCAGGAAGCCAGTTGTGTTGTGTTATGTGGGGGGGGGGGGGAGGGGGGGGGGTTGGGGGGGGCC